TCCTGGAATCAGCTGCTGATCAGTTTCAGCAGCAGCTGACTTGGGGACGCCTGGGGTTCTTAAGTTGATTCTGTATGTAAGTCAGAACTGGCAGTCAGTTTCAGCAGCGGCTGAATCTGGACGCCAGTTCCGACTTACATACAGATTCAACTTAAGAACAAACCTACAGTCCCTATCTTGTACGTAACCCGGGGACTGCCTGTAGTAGCAAAAAGACTGGAGAGATTAGTAATACATGTGAAGACACACTGATTTTTAACTAAAGCCCCAAACAGAGATTAATACCTCACCGCTGTCCTTCTAGTCTATTACTCTCACCATATGGAGTTAATTACATGGCACTTCTTTACAGATATTGGAAAAGGATCTGTAACACCAAAGATATTTAATAGCTACCCACCATCAGACAAAATCTGTTCTGGTCTTTTCTTTTCTAGATGTACTTTTATTGAGACACTCAGATTCATGTCCCATGGTCTCTGCCATATTAGAAGACAGCGAAAGTGTTTCTATCATTAAGCAATCAGAATTTGTTGCTGACATTATTTCTGACAGAGAAGGAACAATCTAAATCCCCCCACCATGGTGTAGCATATTTAATTGAGCAAACATATGAAGTGGTTTGTTCTGTCCTACAAGAAGGATGATTATTTTATTTCTGTATCTGCTTGATAAAGCCAGTATGAAGTCAAAAGGCTGAAGTTAGAACTTGATGCCAGCTTTGATATCTGAGAAAGTCAAATGTACTCTGATGTCAGTTCCAGGTCACAGATACCAAAATCAGAAATATTTTAGAAGGATCTAATGAACTCAGATCTTCCTTCAGTTAACACACTTAAAATGATAATCAGATTCTCAGGTTCCCTGGGTTACCTTTGTACTCTATTGCCACTGCAAGGGGACAGAAATCTCGTACAAGCTGTCAGCCAGGGATGCCTCTTATGTTTGGGAATCACTGGAGGGGATTAAGCAAGAGTAGCTGGGTCTACCCCAGTTGCTCCTGGCATCCCACCTCTGGCATAAGAGACATATCGAGAGCAAACTGCTCCTTCGTGGTGTTCCCTGCAAAAAGTATAATTCAAAGAAGCCTTACTGCTGCTTTAACTTATGCTGGGGCTACCCTGCTCATGGCTGTCCACAAAATTGGAGACCGCAAGAGATGAAGTCAGGTCACTGTCCCCTTTTCTTCTTTGCATCCGGTGTTTGGCCTGGACGAGCACCTGGCCCAATGTAGTTCAAGAAAATACCATTGGATGGATTATAAAACAGAAGCGCAGCCTGGGTTCCCATTGTCAGGAGTTTTAAATACAGCCAGCTTATTCTTTTACGTACCTTCACATCCTGTATCTTCTGTTTCAGGACTTCGGCCATGTTGTCTTCAGGTAAGTGAGCTCCCAAGAGTAGGTGACACTGCTCTTCATGTTGTTCTAACCTCAAAACTGCCTGGCTGTGTAACCCATCATAATGCTCCCAAAGCTGTAACAAAGCCTGTGTTGCCTGTAGCTCATCATTGACTTCTTCATTTGCCAGAGTCCACCTGCAATATGTAAGAACATAACACAGATTACTGACTCAGGGTTTGCCCTTACACTTGAAGTGGTGCACAGACCAGAATCTGATCTCTTTCGAAGACTGTCTGTGGAATTTCTCTGGATTTATACCAGGGCATCTGTCATTAGTCTTGCCATGTGAAATGTCCATAATATATTGCATGTTTACTGTGTTGCTGCTTTTTCGGTTTGTTTTTTCATCTACCACACAGACCCACAATAATGCAATACACTAAAATGTTCACCAAGATATATATATATATATATATATATTTTCATTCACAACTAAGTATTCACAATGAAGTCAATAAAAAAATATTCACATGTCTAAAAGTTATGCTCATGTTCCTTGGAGAACTGGGGGCGTTTATTACTAACGTCTATTTTGTGTCTTTCCTTAGGTGTACCTTGTATGTGCCTCCTTGCATTTATGATCAATAATCTCTGCAAATGAGGAACAGCAGCATTTCTTGAGGTTAGCAGCAGAAGCCTGGAACTTGGCCCAGCTTTCTTCATTCCCCTCTGCTTTGTCTTGAATAGACTGTGAAAAAATTAGACACAACAATTAAATGTGAAGATGAATCAGCCATGTTCATGGAGCTAAAATGTAGTTTTCTTTAGAGACTAGCAGATGTATAGTAATGATATTGTAACCATGTTTATGGGAAAGAAAAGGTTTGTGAAAGAAATAAAAATGTAACAAACTTGCTCTACTACACATTAAAGAATAACTTGTGGTCAAATCCTGTAATGCATACGTTTTCAAAAGCCTCTCTTCACACATATACTGGTTGAATGGGACTCTTCTTGTGAAAAGGTACCACTTACAGCCAGAAAATGTTGAAGAATTAGGCCTTTGACTGGCAAATATGGACAAATAACCAATTTGAAATTCTGAATTAAATATCAGTACAAAAATATCATCTGACTTAAAAAGAAGTTTCACTTATTTAGTTCACACTATTCACTTTAAATTGGAATTCATTTTTCCTTTGGTGTTACTTGTTCCCAGCCCAACCAGACAACCAGAAATAAGTATTTTGAAATTCTTATTTTAGGTCAGAAATAATACAAGAAATGTTAAATACCAATAACTAGTCTCTGCAGGGAAAACAAATGCCACTGACTCCCATAGTCATTGGGTTAGATCCAACGTGATGCTCTAAAGAAATAGTTTTCTGAGGGGAAACATTGTATTTTTCATTAACCTTTTCCCAAGTTTGCCCTAATCCATCTATTTGTTTTTGGTAGATTTACCTGGAGAATCTTCACTTGGTGTTTCAAAGCTTCCAATGATATTACAGGAGGTTTACATTGTTGTAGGCAATACAAAGAACTCATTATCATCAAGTTAACTTCTTCATAAGTTTCATCATAAATTAGCCACTGCTGTAATACTGACTGCATTGAGGTTTTTAACTGTGCCACCTGTAAACAAATAATCATTGCTGAGAAAAAGGATTGCTCCTTCTTTAGGTTTACTTACAAAATATATTAATAAAGGTATTTCCTAGATAATGTTGAAATAAAAGCTGATTTCAGTACTTCAGCTCAATGCATGCCACAAAAATTTCACAAATGAAGTATAGGGATAAGTTGGAAATACAAATTTTAATCTAATAACATGTCAATACTGGTTTGGCAGCCACCATACCAGAAACCCACACTAGGTACAAATGTGCAGAAACAATGCACAGCTATTACTATTTGCTGCTAATATCACCATGCCAGCCAACAGATAAAGTACTGTGGCTCCTGAAAGCCTTAGTCTCCTTAGGAAATAGACAATTTGGGATGGAAATTTAGTTCCAATTTAGCCAAAACTGAACAGAAATTGTGAGAGGGTAGTTCAAGCGTCTAACACAATATCAGTGTTCTAGTCAGCTATATTCTCTTATATGCCACTGTGCCATAACAATGCAGAAGAGACAGAACCACACTCAACATTGTTTTCACAACAACTGCTGGAAGAACGCCAGGACTCACTATATACAAGTGCTGTGCGATGAATGAGGTAGCAGAACTTCCTCTTTTCCCTACCCCTATTCATTATTACAGTTAGTTTTACCATATTGAGACAGAGAAGACTTTCATTTGTCCCAGTCCTTGTCATGTTTCCACAAGAATAAAACCATAGACCTATTCCAGTGTTACTTGTTCTCATTTTTCTATAACACCCGCCCAACTCCACCCCCACAGGGACAGGTTCTCACCTTGCAAAAGGTAGGGCTAAATTCTGACTCAGACCACACACCTACACAAGAGACTAGGGGGGAAACGGAACCACAATACACCCAAAATTGCACAGCTTCCCATTAAATCTCGCACAGGAACTATTCAACTCCACATAGAAGCTCAGGGCTGCAGAGGAGAGAGATGCCTCTCCCCAAACCCTAAAGCTGCTGAGGCCAGTGGAGGGGAGCCCCTCCCCAACAAGCCCCAGCAGGGAGCAGCTGCAGCCAGCAGAAGGCAGCCCCACCCCGCTGGCCCCATTATGAAACCCTCCAGATAAGCTGAGCTCCAACCCCCTGCCTCATCTTGAGCCCACCCCCCTCCAGGCTAAAGGACCCTCCTGCCGGCCAAGTCCTCATTCCAAGCCCCATCCCAAAGCCCACACACTCAGCCCAGAGCTTGTACTCCCTGCTGACCCCCAACCCCCAGCCCTGAGCCCTTTCCCAAACCTGGAGCCCTCCCCTCCACCCTAAACCTCTCATGCCCAGCCCCATTGCAAAGCCTCGCTTCCCAACTCTTTGCCCCAGGCTTGAGCTGCCTCCCACACTCAGAACCCTTTGGCCCCAATTCCGTCACATGAATTTTGTTATGTGCACCAATATGAAGGTGATGTGTCGCACTTCTCCGGCACGTAAGAAAATTCATTCTATTCAGGGGCAGAAAAAATTAGAGGAAACCACCCTACCCTTATGCCTGCTCCATAGGCTACCTGTATCTTAAGTCTAGGGGGTGCAGGAGTAAGTACAGCTATTTGCTCCTTATTTGGACTGATCAGGCAGGATAGTTCAAGACTGGCAATAAGTTGAGTTTAGTTCAATGCCATTTCTTGTTTGCTAGTGTACTGAAGCCAGTGTGCAGAGGTAGGGATAAAATTTACTATTGGCACTGGTCAGCAGCAAATTACTGCCACCAGGGAGCAAAGGGATATAGGGGAGGAATTGTGCCTCAGAGCAGTGTTGGAGTCATAGTCCTTCCGGAGATTATACTGGCAGTGGTGCAATTAGTGCACCACCCCTTGCTGAGGACCATGACGTCATAGTCAAGCCCCTAATTAGACCAGCCCACTGGAACAAAAAAAAAAAAACCCAGTACATAAAAGAGTACCTCAGAGTTACGAACATTAGAATTACAAACCGATCACTCCACTACACCCCTCACTTGGAACTGGAAGTATGCAATGGAGCAAGAGTAGAGACCAAGGTGTTAAACATAAACTATTGAAAAAGTAAAGGGAAAGCAGCTCTTCTCTTCCTCACAGTATAATGTCAAAGCTGTTCTAAGTCAATGTTCAGTTGTAAACTCTGGAAAGAACCACCACGCCACTTTAGTTCAGACTTACAAACATTTCAGAGCTAGGAACAAGCTCCCCTCTTGAACTGTTCATAACTCTGAAGGTGCTACTGTAGTTGTGGGCAACCTGGGGCCCATTAGGGTTATCACTGATGGGCCACAAGATAGTCTGTTTAGGTTGAGTGTCCACAAGCATAACCCCCCTCCCCATAAAGCTCCCACTCTCCTGGCCAACGGGAGCTGCAAGAAGCGGCAGGCCAACCAATCATGGCCAGTGGGAGCTGCAGGAGGCTGTGCCTGTGAACATTCCATGTAGGGATGTGACTAGTTAACTGGTGGGTGCTGGAGCACCTCTCTACCCATCATGGGCAGGGAGCTGCTCCAGCACCATGGGGCCGGCCATTGGTGGGTGGGAGTGCACTCTAGCCTGGCCGGACCAGCCCCCGTTAGCAGCGGGCTTGGCACAAGCATCTAGCAGGTGTGGGGAGAGTGGCGGGATAAGGGTACCAGCCCATCTGGGATGGAGCTGCCACCACTTGCTTCCTTTAATTGGTTAACCACTTAAACCTTGTGTGAAAACCAAATAAATGGGATTTTACATCCCTAGTTCAATGTAAACAAATTGTCTCACGCCCACCAGAAGAGAACTCTGACTGCTCACCACAGTTCTACTGCATGTTATGTACAAAAAACTACATTAAAGAACATCAGAGTTGCAAAGTTAAGTAGTTAAACATTAGGAAACGTCAACATTCAGGCTGCTCACAGCAGCTTGGTTTAGCAATTCCACAGAAAGCTCTGCTCAGCCCCTGTAGCTCTTGGCAGGAGCATGCTCAGTACAGATGAAAAAGTCAGAATTTGACTGCTAAACTCTAGTGAATCTCTACTGAGTGCCTGTGAATAGAAATTTTTCAAATTCTTGTTACTGGATCAAATTAGAGCTTTTACTGGCCCCGAAAAAAAGGCATTTCTCTGGCACCAGAGCAACCTCCCATTACTAAATTGGAAATCCCTGCTCCAAACCATTGACCTACTCAAGCTTCTCCACAAAACAGCTGGAAAAATGTTTTTTAACATAAACAATGCAATGTATTTTCTCTGATCTGACTCTGAAAACACAACAAAAGAAAACAAAAAAGTCAGCCTGAAGCAGACACCTGATATGGAATATTTCAGTCAAAACAGTTTAAGTTAAGCAAAGTTGCATACTGGAAAGCATTGGGCAACCTTAATTTTAGGTTTCTGCATTTCCCATAGTATTATACATTTATTATATGATGATTGATTGTAAGCATAAAACCATATTTATCATACACATGTCAATAGACACTGCTGAGATTAGTTGGCCTAAGTTAGGGTATGTCTACACTACCACCCTAGTTCGAACTAGGGTGGTTAATGTAGGCAACCGAAGTTGCAAATGAAACCCGGGATTTGAATTTCCCGGGCTTCATTTGCAACTTCGGCTGCCTACATTAACCACCCTAGTTCGAACTAGGGTGGTTAATGTAGGCAACCGAAGTTGCAAATGAAACCCGGGATTTGAATTTCCCGGGCTTCATTTGCAACTTCGGCTGCCTACATTAACCACCCTAGTTCGAACTAGGGTGGTTAATGTAGGCAACCGAAGTTGCAAATGAAACCCGGGATTTGAATTTCCCGGGCTTCATTTGCAACTTCGGCTGCCTACATTAACCACCCTAGTTCGAACTAGGGTGGTTAATGTAGGCAACCGAAGTTGCAAATGAAACCCGGGATTTGAATTTCCCGGGCTTCATTTGCAACTTCGGCTGCCTACATTAACCACCCTAGTTCGAACTAGGGTGGTAGTGTAGACATACCCTATAGAGAGTCATTGAGGAGGGAAAGGGAATCCACAAGAGCATCAGTAGAGCAACTGGGCATGATAGGGGATCTGACTAGATTAAAAAGAAATATGGGAGCGGAGAAGAGAAAACACAGTCCTGTGATGATGGAAAAGGATTCACTGGGAATGGGACACAAAGGAATAGTGAGGGACCAATTGAAATAAGTTTGAGATTTTTGTATTCAACCAAATCCATTAAGCTACCATAAAAATGTAGATATTAAAAAAATTGCAAAGGGGGTAAATTTTATATTTGACTCCAAAGCAGCTTGATTACTTTCTCTCAAACTTGGCATACAGGCTCTACTTTGGCATGAGACTAAACCACCATAGTTTTATGGCCAAAAGGAAATTTCTTACCAAAATTATAGGGGAGAAAAAAGAGGCAGAATGAGGCATCTATTGCAGCCTTAACTATGGATCTGCCAATGAACAGCTCAGTAAAACTGGAAATGACCAGAAAGGATTAGGAATACTGTGGCTAAGGTTGAATCCTGGGGAGAAGTGTACATGCAAAATTCTCTACCTGACTGATGATACCATTCCTCATTTCAAGCAGCTTATCCATTCTGACAACTGTATCTTCTGAGGTTTGTTCTGCACCATTTTCCAAAGGCATGTAGTTCTGCTTTAACTGATCAATAGCTTTGGATTTAATTGTAAGTTGATTTTCTAGCTCCTAAAAGAGACAAAAGATAAAAATCTTTATTTGCACGACAGTACAAAAGTAAAGACAAATGATTCTTCTTTAAAATCAATCCCATGAAATCTTTCTAACCATCGGAAATTTACAGCAAATTGTGTTCCAGCAGAAATAAGCTTGCCCCAGGAAAGTGGAACAATTGTTTTGTGAATTTGCAGTCACACAAGACACTGCATTTGGCCTTGACATGGAATACAACACACTGCATTTGGAACTGAGAGTCAGATCCTTCCCCAGCATGTGCGCTCCTTTGCCCCACTCCAGGGAAAGGGGCCAGAAAGCTTTTCAAGCAGGGCAGCTCAAGTTTCTCAGCCTTCCTACCCTCTTCAGCATATGGATGCACCAAAGGTAGGAGCACCTTGCACAGAGTGGATCTCTGGCTTCCTAACAGGTACTAGGAAGTCATTTTTCAGCTGACATAAGTTAGAGAAGTCTTGAGATTGCTTTTAACTTACACCAGGGCTGACATAAGCCCTGGCTGACCCTAGGATTGGGGAATCTTTAAGCCACCTTTCCCTTCAGCCTTCATAGCCTGCCTTCAGCACAGCCTGGCCAGACCAATGATCTGGCCTGGAATTTGGAAGCAGTCTCGATGAAGTCAGTGGGACTACTTGTGAGAAGAACTGCACCCCAATAGGGATGTAAATGGTTAACCAGTTAATCAGTAGGGGCTGGAGCAGCTCCCTGTCTGCCCTGAGCAGGGGGCTGCTCCAGCCCCACCGGGCCAAAGCAGCCCGTGTCTGTGTCAGGCCCAACCCACTCCCACCTCCTGCCGCAGGCAGAGCCTCCAAGGAAGCCTCCCGGGAAATGGGGCTGGCAGCTCTTGCTGGCCCTGCTCTCAGGGAGGCTTTGCTGTGGGTTCGGCAGTATAAAGCCTATCTACACTTTTATTTAAGCTTTATACTGCAGAGTCCCCAGCACATGTAACCGTGTAACCGCTGGGATTTTTAGTGGTTACATAGTTACATTTTGTAAACGACTTTGTACATCTCCACTCCCCAACGTGATTAAAGGGATTGAATGTGGGGTCCTTATTTATGCAGGACAGTCAAGCCCCACTGCAGTACATGAGCATGTTTTAGATATGCAAATGGGCTGATTCCTTTCACTAAAAGTTTTCGCTTTAAGTCCACACGTTTTCTGATAATGATTCACAAATGTCCAATGTGAATGTGTTTTGAATGTGTTCAAAATCCATTTAATTTTTAATGAAATAAATAAAATCGTAATTAAGTATTTTAATAGCTTGAAGCTTAGCATCTTATTTTGCTGTGATTAGATATGGTACTTTAGAGATACCAAAGTAGCTTACTAACTAGCTGGAACATTCTCATATCCATACACTTCATTGTAGATAGATGAGTAACTCTGCATTAGCACTGCAGGGAATAACAGCAGCATAATATGGGAGAGATACAAGTTACCATGGTAATAAAACAAAAACATTTCATAGAAGTAAACAGAGTGGTAACACTGAATTGAATGGATGCTGAATATTTCCAGAGTAATTGAGGACCAGCTGGCAGATGATTGTCAACTATCCTGATTTTGATGGAGCTGCCCCCCATTGAAAAATCCCTAAAATATCCTTAGGATTGAAGCAGCAGGACTGCCTTCACTATGATGTGGTGAAGCAAGCATCACGGCATCAATAATAGAATGACTTCTCATGCATCCATAAGTCAAAGATGGCCAAGAGAACTAAGTAGAAAAAAATAAAATGCTCTGTTTGACAGAGAGGAAATATTATGCTTAAGCAGAAGTATGCAAGTTACCACTGAGTTACTATTCTTCCTAACCAAAGTATTATCAAAGAACGTTTCATACTAATCAAATTGATAAGTCTTTCTAGCAATGTGTTGAACTGAAAGAAAATGAAACGTTTTCCATTAAAAGAAATCCAAAATAAGGTAGTGAAAATATTAAAAATAGTCTTAATGTTGCAGAAAATTCTCAAGATAAAAGTACAAAATGCAACTATGAAATTTCACATCTGCATCATTCCAGATTTTCTGGCACCATAATTCATGCATGTCAATTTGCAACAGCTGAGTATCTGACCCCTTTTCTCTTTCTTAAAGTTTGCATTTTGTATTTTCATTAAAGTGATATTCTGTACTATATGTCCAGGCATATGGTAAGTTCCTTCAATTTAAAATTTAAAAAAATGATGTGGCTTTTGTTGCACTGACCTAGCAAAGTATTGCATGTAATGTATGCAACGCATGCAATGCAAAGAACATCTTTTACCTTACAGTCTTCCAGCGTGGTCTGTACTGAGATCAGACTCGCTGGCTTTTCCAAAGATTTCAGCCTTTCGCCTTGAGCTTTCAGCCAGCTGCTCAGAGTTTGTACTTTGTTTTCATTTTCAGTGACAATTTCCAAAGTATGTTCCAAATCTTGTATCTAAAAAGTACAGGATAAAGAGATTTCATTTTGATAAAGCTTGAAAGTGTTTCACAGATTTAAACTCTTGTTTTGCTTGGAGTCCTTTGTAGGACTCAAACAGAGTAGTGTCTCCCAGCATACCATAGCTGAAGATAATAAACGGATTTATCCAACATACTAACAGTTGGCAGCGTCTATTCTAACAATGTCATGCTTAAAGGGGTAGGATTCAGGAAATTCTCCAAATGCCCAATCACAGTAA